CATTCACATGGTTGTGATACAAATCTAGCTGCATCAGTGTCTGGCATTCTTTTGAAGCGTAAAACAATGCTTCGATAAGCTCACTCGAAATATCCGATTCAGATATAGCAAGATGCGCAATGAATTGATCTTTTTTCAATGCATCTATAAGAGAATTTTCTTTCCGATTTGATGGCTGTACATCGCGTACGTGCAGACTGAGACGTTTGATGGATTTGTGCTCTTTCAATGTTGTGAGAAGACCAACAATAAAAGCTTCGTCTTCGAAACCAGTTTCATCCATAAGACTGAGCTCAGCAAGCGTGTCATTTTTCTTCAGCATCTCACAAAAGTGAAACGCAGTCGAAGGTACACGTATTGAATAGTTGAGCTTTAGCTTATGCAATCTAACTGTTCTAAAACTAAACAAAGCATTTACCATGTCAATATTGTTGCAATAGTCTACAGTCAGTCCTGTCATCGTTACATTTGCTTCAAGACATTGCCGAAGGTCGAGCTCATGTCCTTGGAAATCACACGCACAGACATTCAATTTTCGATGAATCTTGTTTTGCAGAAACAACCGATGAAGCATGGATATACTTCCATCTTGATAACCACCATGGCAGCAAACTTTAATTGATTGATTATACAGTTCTGCAATCATGTATTCGCAAGTATATTCGACTAATTTCAGTCGATTCTGAACACGAACCATGATTAAGTTTAGGCAGCGAATTGAAGAACGATTAATGATAACATCTAGCAGTGTGTCAAGATCCTTCTTGTAAAAGCCGCAATCATGAAATACCAACTTCACAATGTTAAAACCTTTTGTTAGAGCTTCACACAGCATTTTGATGTTTTTGTCTGTCACATTCACTTTAGTTATGACTGCTTCTTTGGTCTTCTTATCAAATTTACCTCCCATGGCCTCGAATTGACTGATGTATTTACGAATTTCGTTATTAAAGCTAATTTCGTCGTAATGCTCGTGGCATACCCAACGTACATGGCCATCAGTAGTAACGATACGGTATAAATTGCCCAAACTCCGTTTATCGTCAACAAGATTCAAATATGTTTCAACTTCGCGAAGTTCCGCACCCTTAAAGGGAGCTTCTCGTGATTTCTCGCGTTCAAGCACGGGTGGACCAGTACTGGTTAGTGTACTATGATATTTATCGATTACGTTATCAACTGTTTCCAAATTCTCCATCAAACTTCTGCAGTATTCAGCTGGAGGTAGAATATCATTCAGACCTGGTGAGATACTTCCTAAGCGTGAAACGGCAAAGTCCTGGGCTGTTAGCAAAAGTTTAACAATATTTAGTGTGGTTCGTAAGTAAGGGCCATACTTCACAACGAACTCTCTTGGTTTGACGATGGGATAACCATCATGTGGAGCGACATGCATGTTGCGTGGGTCATAGGAACATTCACATAGAAAGTAGAGCTTGTATTGAAGATGAAACCAGCTGTGCATTTTGTTCATCAATTTCATATCGCAGTGCTTTCCTGGTAAAACAAAAAAATAGCGTGGTGTGGTATATTCATGTAGTTCATACATTGCCGTCATCAGATTCTTTATCTGCTCTGATATTGCTTGAACATTATTAATAAGAATATCAAGTTTTGGATCGAGATATTTCACAACGGCAACTAAAGTATCATTAGACTGATTGATAGATTCTCGTGCTTCAATGATTTGATCAGCGCACGCCTTAATGCGCAACGGCATCAAATTTTCACCTTGTTCGTTACGGATAAAACCTAATTGTATATCTTCGATACATAATACACACACCGTAGAAAATTGTCGTTGAACATCCTCTAGAAATAAGTATTCGGTGCCATCAAGAGCAACAGTTTGTATTTGAGCTTCAATACCTTGAAAACGAACTTTTTGAGTTCTAATTTTATTAATAATATGTGTCATAATGCGTGTGTTTAGATGAAGCAAATTTTTGTGTAATCTTTTTTCTGTTTCTTTCTTTTTAGTGTGCGTAATTTATTATGTTTTATTATGATAACAAGGAGATCAAGATATAATAAATGCAGAGAGAAAAACAAAACGATTAGACGAACACTGCATATGTAAAACAAAATTAGAAGAAAAGAAAAAAGTATAACAAGCTACAAGAGGAAAAAAATAAAAAAAGGCAGAGATATAATACGAGACGTATCAAAATGGTTTATTATGAAACAAATCGAGCACGTCTTGAGGATGAAGGTATGTGCGAATGTTGATAAATCGCAAAATCGTAGAACATTGAGTGTGGATGTGGATGCTCGTGTGGATTTGGTGCAGGTGTGTGGGTGAGGGTGGGCGTGGGCGAGGGCGTGAAATGTGGCTGTAGGTGTGGGGTGAGAGGGTGCGTGGCTGAGGGTGTCGGTATCGATGTGCGTCTGGGAACAGTCTTTATCAAACAACCACACTCACAACCACCCACATCCACACTCACCCATATTCACACCCACCCACATCCATACCCATTCACACCCACACCCATAGTCCTTCACACCCACCCACACTCACACCCATACCAATTCACACCCACACCCTAACCGAGATTTGTCCATGTTGTATGTCCTTAGAAAGGTAAGTGTAAAGGGTATTTTCATGAAATGCTTGTGAGTGTGAGTTTATGAGCGAAAACAAGAATATCCACACCCATTCATATTCACCTCCACAGTCACACCCACTTACATCCACACCCACAATCACACCCACACCCACAATCGCACCCACACCCACTCACACCCACACCCACAATCGCACCCACACCCACTCACATCCACACCCACAATCACACCCACCCCCACTCACATCCACACTCCCGCTCCCACCTACACTTCACATCACCTACCCTTCGTTCTCTCTTGTTTTTCGAAATTCAATTTTTCAAAGAATAGTATTACGTATGTTAGAATGCATAGGAATAATATCAAGTTTCCAATTACCGAAAGATTATATCATGCGTTTGTTAATCTTTGTATAATACAGCTGAAAACGCCATCATGAGACTAGAGCATTCGAATGCAAGCTATGATAACAATATCAATCGGTTGTTTTATATTCGTTCTTTGCAGGTATTCGAAATATTATTTTTTTTCAACTCTTCGTACATTGAACGATTTTTCATTTTAGCTTGACAGGTTAGGTTGTTGTTTTGTTTTATGTGTTCGATTATTAATTTAGTTCATTGTTAGTTCAAGTCAATTCTAAGACAACAAGACCTGATGATGGCATTTGTGCAAGGGCGAAATGGGCACAAAATGCTACCACTGTGGCTGGCGGCCATGGTCAAGGATCTGAACTTAATCAGTTGAATTTTCCTTACGGATTCTTTATCGATGATAATCAAACTATTTATGTAGCAGATTCTGCTAATCATCGTGTGATCAAATGGGAACGCGGTGTTTCGAAAGGTCAAGTAATCGCAGGTGGAAAAGGAGCTGGAGATCGTGAAGATCAATTGTCTAATCCATCAGACGTTGTTGTGGATAAAGATGGAACAATATATATTAGTGATTATAAAAATCAGCGTGTTCAGCGATGGTTTCAAGAAGCTCTAAGTGGGCAAACACTTATTCATGATATTTCTGCTTTTGGCATAACACAAGATGATCAAGGATCACTTTATGTCTCTGACTTCAGGAAAGGTGAAGTGAGGAAATGGCGTATGGGTGAAGCGATTGAACAAGTCATCATTTCAGAACTGAGTCAGCCATCCTTCCTGTTCGTTGATCGAAATCGATCTGTCTTTGTGACTGAGACAGGTAGTTCTATAGTGACGAAAGTTGATGATAGATCAATGCGAATGGAAATTGCTGCTGGTGCATTATATGGTGATGGTGATGATGAATTAGCATCCCCAATGGGTGTTGTTGTTGATCAATTGGGTACGGTTTATGTGGCGGATTCCGAGAATAATCGAATAATGCGATGGCCACGTGGATCTAAATCTGGTAGTCTCATCGCCGGTGGTCATGAGCCAGGTTCCCAATCCGATCAACTTAATTATCCCACTGGCTTATTATTTGATTTTGACGGAAACCTCTATGTAGTGGATAGTAGGAATCATCGTGTGCAAAAATTTGCTATTGATAAGAGTCTGTGTTGACATGCATGAGGGAATTAATCTTTTCAAACGGCATAGAAAGAAAAAATTTCAGAGCAGCAACAATACCGTGTCATAGCTAGCACCCTTTTTTTAATAAATTTGTCCACAACAAACTAATCAGGAGACTGATAAAAGGTCCAAGTCAGTCTAATGCAGACTATTCCTTCAAAAAGTTCATTTGTACAGGAGTTCAGACGAGTAAAATCTGCAAAGAGTCAGTTCATATGTGCTCAATCAAGATTCTCCGATTTTATTCGATTTCAATATGTTATAGAGTCGATAGATTTATGATTTTGGATGCAAATCAATTGAAAAAATATTGAATTCTTGATTTTACATGAGGTTTTGTAAAAAAAAAAGAAAGGTCCTCATAATGAAGACATCGTGGTCTTACACAAGACAAAAAGCATCAACTGATGGATATATCTGAAAAAAATGAACACTTATCTGGCTATCTTTTAAAGAAGACGCACGACTATCGTGCAAGAGTGCTGGCCTGTTATTAGATGCGTACATGGAGTGTGGGTGCTGGATGTATGTATGGTATACAGGACAACTACACTCACACTCACATCCCCTATTAAACAGATTTCCTGTGATTGATCAAATATTTAGTGACTCGAGAGTAGTTTATAAGATCATCTCATATATCTTGATAGGAATTTCAGAAAGATGTGGTTAACTTTTGGAATTGTTCATAACTTTTCACGGGCTTAATAATAGTATGAAGAAAATCCAATTATAGATCTGATTGAACAATTTTTATAAAAATTGACAAGTCAAACAGATTATCTTCAGCTTTCTATATTTTATTTACATGTGAAGTGCTAATAGAACAGCAAGAATAAAATAAGTTAGATCAAAAAAAAAAAGTTTGCAAGCCTAAAAAAAAGCTTATGCGAAGCTTTCAGGATACATAGCAAAGGCTATTCTATTACATTTTCGAATGTTACAGTGTACTACAAAATTATGATTACTTGTTTTTCTTGTTTTTAATATATATGCTCGTTCATCAAGAAGATTAGAAATCATTTCAGCATTGTTGAAATAGTCGGAACACATAGAATTTGTTATTCCATTAATAGATGTGAAACATGCGACACATAAAATGCAAGATTGTTTTTGTGAACAGCATGCATTAGGATTTGTAAAATTTGTATATCTTGAACATGTTAATGGAATCTCAGGCGTTGACATGTATAATAATGGTAAAATTATGTCTGTATTATGTTCTATTGTAGTTGAATTCAATAATAATTGAAGTTTACTAAGTTTTAGCTCATTACAGTCGTCTGTTAAACAATGAATAAGTAAAACCATATTCATATGACCCACTGCTTTTATTGTTAAGCCAAGTAGAACAAAATCTTCATTGTATCCATATGCTGGATGGTATATTTCTGATGCAATATTTATGTATCCTTTACCATAATGTTTAAAAATAATTCCTATTGTACAATACGTTTTGTTGACATCGATTTTGATACAACCCGATGGTGTTGTTAAATTCATAGCTGTTACAACAATTTCATCACATTGATAACAAATTAAACATGAACCAGTTTTTATTATTAGTATAAAAATAAAAAAACTCAAATCATATGAAAATACTATGATAAAACTAAAATTAAGGAAAAAGAAATTGCTTCAATTTGACAAACCTTTTCTGATTGATTTCTTTTGAAATATTTAAATGTGAAGAGTTCGAACATCAACAACAAACAGTTCTAATCTTCACCAACAGAACAGTATCAGTCAACGACAGTCATCGAAATAGAACAACAAAAATTCGTTAAACTGTATTTTTTTTATTTATCATGGTAATGAATCACTTGTAGTTTTTTGAAAACTCTCACATAAATTTTGAAAATTAAATGTTAAAAGACGAATAATATTCAAAGAACATGCAAGTATAATCAAGAAATCATGGTGATGAGACTTTTTTTTCTACAGTGATCGAAATAGAAGGTCGAAAATCTCAGTTGATTTTTGTTATTGCTGGACAGTTAAAGAACTCATTCACTTTTGAAATTCTTTGATATTCTCGAACGAACTTCGAACAACATTATTTCTCTGATATTGGTGGGTAACCCGGTGTCCATCTGAATTGGTCAAAAAGATGGGTTTCATTCACTCCATTCTCAATTAAATCATGAACTACTAACTCAAATTCAAATATTTCAATCGAACACACAGGCATGGACGAACTCATTGTCATTTTTGACTACTTACCTTCAGTTGTCGCTCTTTGTTGTCATTATCTTCATTTGAAATGACTACTGCTTGTCTATATAGTTTTGATTGTATAATACTGTGTCGTACCTCGAATTTTCCTTCTTTATTTTCATTATTCTTCGACTCTATTTATATTTTCATCTTTTTTAACACAGAGACAAATGAAGGAATTAAAAACGTACGAGAATTCATAAACAATATCGACAAAAGAGCGGTTGAATGCCAGAACAGGAAGCAAAGATAGAATAACAGAGTGTGAGTGCGAAGGGTGCATACGCACAATAATCGAAAATTGTCAATTCTTTTCGACAAAACGTGCGAAGTTTTTTTGTATTTCACACTATGTCTACGAAATTTTTTCGAACATACCTTCTTATAACTTTCCAATCGTCCTTACCTCTCCAATCTTTGATCTTTCGAGTTGGTTCTGTCTAAATCCATTCATGTACACACGTTGTTCTTATATTCACATGCAGTGTATCAAAATTAATTTTTGAAATATATGTTGCTAATAAATTATCGGTCCAAGATAAAACGTAAAATTGTCTATTTTCTAAATCTGTTGGAAATGGTTTATATCCTTCAGCAATTCTTACACCATTTGGTGTTATTGTTACATTTTGTATTTGTTTACTACTTCGTTCATTTACTTTTATGAATACCATGGGTGTAATTATACTATATTGCCATAATGCAATTAAACCAACGGATTTAATATAACCAAAGCCACAGACATTATAATCAAAATTTTTTGTCCTGACAACGACTTGCACGATCTGATAAATCTAATGTAATTAAAACTGTATGATCTTTCTTAAAATTATATGCATGATAAGTAAACAATTGATTTTTGTTATCATAATAATTTTCAGGCATAGATGAACCAATGTCTATGAATTGAGCTATTTCTCTTTTTACTTGTAAGGTTTGTGTATTAATTTCGACTAGATATTGTGCATTACTATTGTTATGTATAACTGCGTATAATTTTTTACTTATATCATTATACTTTATTTGATCAATCATGAATTGTTGAACTTGTTCAGTTTGTTCAATCTGATTTAATATTAAATTATATTTAAAAAATTTAGATATACCATATAATATTTGTTCCATAATAAAAATAGATATTCTTATTCTCACGATCGTATGTATAAGGGTCAATACGATTATTCAATGATCGAACATATTTCGATGGATACTTGGTTACTCGAAATGTTGCTAACGTACGTGAACGATCTCCAGTTTCTTCATTCCATGTTCTCAATGAAAAATCATCGATGGCAAGCCATTGTGATGAAATTGAACAGAGAAATAAGGACAACAGAAAAACTCTGCACAAGCTACTATTAGTTATTCTTGTTATTTTTTGTATTCTAAACGTATGAAGACATTAATTTTTACCAACATGTGTTATCTTTGTTATCAATATACGAAATTTGATGGGTCTCTTAATATTACATATTCCTAAAAAACACGTACCTTACACAGCAGTAGGTGGCGCATTAGAAAGTGCTAACAAGTTTTTTTTTCTTTTTAAATCTATATGTATTATAATGAACTAAAAAAACTATAAGAAAAATCGTTCTATGATTGGGTTAGTATGAATGCAATTGTTATTCTTGAAAGACGCAATATTTTGGACGTTTCAAATCAATTAAATCCAATGAAAAACTGCTTTCCTTGCAATTATATTCTAATACCTAGATTAACTAAAATTCTTTATTTTCTTACTCTGACATAGTTAGTAATGAATATTTGTCTCATACACGTCTATTTATGTGGTGTTTATAACCAAAGAAAAGTTCGAATATTTCCATATATATGTTCTAATTAAATATAAAAACTACTAAACTTATAAAATGTTAACAATAATGATTGACACTATAGATGCTGTTGGATCTCGAAAATAAATTAGTACTTTTTAAATAAATCTTCACTCTTTCAAATTTATATGATTGTCCTATATATGTGCACAGGCTAGTTAGGAAATGATCAGTCATCATTTTCCGTTTTCTTATGTAGATAAGATCTCTTTTTTGAAAATGAATAAATATTTATTTTTCTTTCAAAAATCGCATATCGATATGAGAAAGTCAAACAACTAATACATTTTGAAAGAAACTCAGAATAAGATAAATGTCACATATAGTTTGTCAAAAAAAATAACACTGTTGTTTTATTACTCATATTGACAGTGTTCATAAAAAACGCATCTGTTATCTGCTGTTAATACAAATACATATTCAGACTCTCCAATGACAATAACCAAAATATTTTATTCTTTGTTTTAGCCGAGCAAATGAATAGTACGAGTTACAAAAAAAAAGTCTTCAGATGTTTTTTAATTGCTTATAGATCAATATCTAACTTCAGGTCAACTTACTATGAATGTGACGTTAAAAGGTTGTTCAACAACATAACTAATGGAATACACAATAAATTGTAGCGAATATCTCGTATGATTTCGCTTTTAAACACATTAATAATCAATAGGCAACTGTACGTTGCCTCTGTGGATCAAATATACCTTCAGAATCACTGTATTTTTTTGTCTTACTGGAAGCTATGGACAATACTTACTTATATTCGTTGATGTCTAATAACAGATTTGACAAGTCTTCTGAATACTACTCTAGAAGAAAAATATTAGGTAACCGAGTCTTGTAAATCAAAAATTTCATCAACATCAATAGGAAACAATCCTATATTTTCAAAACCTCTTGATTCGATGCTAGGTATAGAGTTTTCTGAATTATAATATAGAAGTTTGATGGAATGGAATAAACTAGTAGTATGCAGAATGCTGACTAACATTTTATTTGAAACTTAGTTCACTCGACTAAACAGAAATTTTTATCATAGATAGTTTATTAAAAATAAGAAGATACGTATTCCCATCAAACTTTCTCCTGTTCGACTGAAAACGATCTTCGGAAATACGTAAGACTATATATCAGAGGTATTTTTTAAGCGATTCCAACTATATCCCTTTCTCTCTTTTTTATGTGAATTTGCATACGGGGATTCATTTGTAAATTTTAAAAAAAGGAGCTAATGGAGCATCGAATTTTACTTATCTTGGTTAAATTTCTAAATTATTTCATGCTACTCTCTTATGAAAAATATGATAGATCTATCTGATAAAAATAGATGAAGATATACATTAGATAAGCTTAACAATGTTGACTGGAAATCAGTAATAGTTTTTCAATATCTTTCGAATTAATAGTTTAAGCATAAATACATTCTTCTGTAAAAATTGTTAATATGTCCATTTGTTATTGTTCCATTAAAATGGCTTATTTCATTTTTATACATTAATAGAAATCAAACAAGTTATTGCTTTTCTTCTTTCAATCTTTTAGTTCGTTAACAATAATAAATCATATTTCTAAGCAAAGTACAAACAATAAACAGTGATAAAACATTTACTTGTATAAAATTCTCAATAAAGAAAACCAACCACTAAGTGAAAAAGTTAAAGGTAAGTATTATGTACATTGTCATTCGAGATTACAAAGATATTATATGTTTTACTTTGGAAGAGAAACAGAAAAAAAAATGAACTTTATCAAGAAAAACTATGTATAATAATTTCTTCATGTATTGTTTATAATTGATTGAAAAAACTTGATAGATCTAAATTGATTTACATCTTAAAGATTTTTTTGTAATATAAAACTTTTTATTTTTGAAATTAGAGATTTCAATGTTGTATTTATTGCAAAATAAGATGAAATCAATTTCAAACATGTTTATTTTATTTATCATAAAACTTTAAGTTAAAAACATGTATAAAAAAAAAGAACTATGAAAGGAACATGAATCAGATCTTTTCTAAGCTATATTAATCATGCCAACAGAATAAAGGCAAAATGAGAGAAAAAGAATATTTATGAGAAAAATAAAAAAAGTAAATTAAAATTCCCATTTATCGTCCTTAATACCACGAACAATAATACGCGTTGTTATTACTGTAGTCAAAGCAACAAATGCCCAAAACCAGAAACCAAGTCGAGGTAATGGCATCCAATTTCGATAAACTTTTAGAAGTTTTTCTAAACGAGCTGTTTTTTTCTGATTATAAGGTGGATTACGGTTCGAAATGAGAAATTCTGCCCACGTAGGTATATAAGCAATTGAACGCATATGACTAAATGTATCAAATGAATATTTGCCATGATAATTTCCAAGACCACTTTCACCAACACCACCAAATGGTAAACATGGTGGAGCTATTTGAAAGATAACATCATTAACACAAGTTGAACCAGAACTTGTTGAATTAATAATTGTTTGAATTAAATTTTTATTTGATGAAAATACATAAAGAGCTAATGGTTTTGGTCGACTATTAATAAATTCAATAGCTTCGAGTTCATTATTAACTGTTATTATTGGAAGAAGTGGTCCAAAGATTTCTTCTTGCATAACTTTATCGGTTCCAGTTACATTTGTCCTAATAAAAGAGAGATAAAAACAACAACAACAATATGATAGATATGAATACAAAAAAAAACAATTTTTTTTCTTTATACATAATCGTTGGTGCAATATAATTTTGTTTAGCATCTGTTTGTCCACCATAAACAACTTTTGTTGTATCAATTAATTTTTTTACACGTTCAAAATGTCGTTCATTAATAATACGACAATACGAATCTGAATTAATTGGATTATCAGTATAAAATGATTGCCAAGCTTTGACTATTTCTGGTATAAGACGAGTTTCCATTGTTTTTGAACATAAAATATAATCAGGTGCTAAACTAAAATAGAAAACTCTTAACATTTTCTTTCTTTTTTTGATTAGAAAAATACTTTACCATGTTTGTCCACAATTAAGAGTTTTACCCCATGCAATACGTTTAGCAGTAATTGCTATATTAGCATCATCAGCAACATAAACTGGACATTTACCACCACATTCAAGTACTACTGGTATCATTTTTTCAGCAGCTGCTTTCATTATAATTTTACCAACCATTGTTGAACCAGTATAAAATACATGATTAATATCACCTTTAAGTAATGCTTGAGTTTGATCAACAGCACCGAGTACAACACGAATACAAGATGTATCAAGATAATGTTCAACCATTTTTGCAATAAACTCAGCTGAATTTGGTGCTAATTCAGATGGTTTAATAATAGCACAATTACCAGCAGCTAATGCACCAATTAATGGTGTTAATGATATTAAAAATGGATAATTCCATGCACCAATAATTAAACAAATACCATATGGTTCAGGATGAACACATTTATCCATTGTAGCAAATGCTAATGAATCTGAACGATATTCATCACGTGCCCATTCATCGATATGATTAAGTGTATCCATACATTCATTACGAAGCTATAAAAATAAATATAAAAGATGTATATACATTATAATATAAAGAAAAACTTACAACAGCACAATCATATAAAATTGTTTCAGCATGTGGTCGATGAAAATCAGCATATGCTGCTGAAGCAAACATTTCTTTTTGTTCATCACACATTTTATACAATTGTTCAAGTTGTCTTTTGCGCCATGCAATGGATTTTGTTTTACCAGAATTAAATGATGTACGAAGATCTTGGAAAATGCTAGGTATACTATCTAGTGATGTTTCAGTCATTGTTAATGATTCCTGAAATCTAAAAAAGAAATAAACAAATATGCTCTTTCGATTTACCAAATAAGGTAGCATAATTTGGCCTTAGTGACCTTATCCTCATCGACAGCGATTGACAATTAAAAAGAAAAAAATTTTGCTTGTATCTTCATGGCTAAGGATATTAGTTTATTATCCTATTGCATGAATGTGTATACAAATTGTAGGAATAAACAAAAGATGTCGCACACAAATGGACAAAAGAAACTTTTAGATCTTGAAGATTTTGTTGATTTATTAAAAAATGAATGACTAGAGTAAGAATCATCTATTGTGAATGCACGATCAATTCATAGCCATACGTATGTTATATTCAACAAAACAAGAAGTATTTTCTACGTTAATATTTATTTGTACATTTGAACTTCTATCATCTATTGATTGAAATCTCGTTCTGATGCACTTATTATTGAATGTGAACAGCTTAACTTTGAGTTTTATTCTTTGTCT